CCTCAATAAAATATTGCCAAATAGGATGCAGCAAATCATCAAGAAGATCATACACCATGACCAAGTGGGATTCATCCCAGGTATGCAGGGATGGTTCAACACATGTAAGTCAATAAATGTAATCCAGCATATCAATAAAGCCAAGAGTAAGAATCACATGATCATTTGGATAAATTCAGAAAAAGCTTTTGATAAGGTGCAACATTCATTCATGAGAAAATCTTAAAGATGGTCTTTAGCTCAATATGATAAAGGCCATCTATTGCAAACCAACAGCCAGTATCATACTAAATGGCCAAAAAATGAAGATACTCAAAAATCAATAACATTCCTTTACACTAACAATAAAATCACAGAGAAAGAAATAAGGGGAGCCACACGGTTCACACTAGCAACCAAAAAAAAAAAAAAAAAAAAAAAAGAAATATATAGGAATTATTCTCATGAAAGAAGTGAAAGATCTATATAGGAAAAATTGTAATACACTGAAAAAAGAAACTGAAGAGTATTTCAGAAAATGGAGAGACATCCTTGCTCATGGATTGGAAGAATAAATATTTTGAAAATGGCCATTCTCCCAAAATTGTTACACAGATTCAATGTAATCCCAATGAAAATACCATCAACATACTCATAGATCTAAAGAAATCACTCCTAAAATTCATCTGGAACCAGAAGGGACCTAGAATAGCAAAGACAGTTCTAAGCAGCAAAGGCAAGGCAGGAGGCATCACAATCCCTGACTTGAAGTTATAATACAAAGCTACTGTAATAAAATCAACATAGTACTGGAATAAAAATAGATCTGAAGATCAATGGAATAGATTAGAAGATACAACCACAACTACAAACACACTCAACAATCTTATCTTTGACAGAGTCCAAACATGTTTACTGGAAGAATGACAGTGTCTTTAATAAATGGTATTGGAAAAAGTGGCTCTCCATATGCCGCAAACTAAAATTAGATCCTTGCCTATCACCATATACTAAACTAAAATCTAAATTGATAAAAGATCTGAGTATTAAAACTGAAACACTAAATCTATTGGAAGACAAGTTGGGTAAAAACCTTGAAAACATAGGGGTAGGTAGAGAAGTCATAAACAGGACTCAAACCGCACAGGAAATACTTTCCGGAATCAATAACTGGGATCACTCCTTATTAAAAAGTTTCTGCACGTCAAAAGAAATCTCCAGCATAGTGAAAAGAAAACCCACACACTGGGATAAAATGTTACTGAACCGTCCCTCAAACAAAGGACTTCTATCTAAAACATATAAAGAATTTAAAAAATCAGACCCCCATTATTCAAAGACCCAATCCAAAAATGGGCATCTGAGATGAATACACAGTTCTCAGATGAAGAAATACAAATGGCAAGTAAATACATGAAAAAATGTTCAGTATCATTGGTCATCAGAGAAAAGCAGATTACAACCACACTGAGATTCCATCTCTCTCCAGAAAGAAAGGCCATGATCAAGAAAACTACCAACAACAAATGCTGGAGAGGCTGTGGGGAAAAAGGAACTCTTCTGCACTGTTGGTGGGAGTGTAGACTAGTGCAACCACTGTGAAAGTCAGTCTGGAGACTCCTCAAAAAGCAGGTATTAGAAGTCCCATTTGTTCCAGCTATTCCACTCTAGGCATATTCCCAGAAGAACTGAAAACATTATACCACAGTAATATATGTGTACCCATATTTATAGCAAGACAACTCGACATAACAACAGTAGCTACCATAGTGTCTCTTTCCTTGACATATTTGAGTATACATTCATACACTATAGTATCAAACATAGCAAGACAGTGTAAAACCATTCAAGAGAATGAAAGTATGACAGGGTGTTCAGAACCAACTAACAGAAAATGAACAATGGTTACTATATTATCTCGCTGTTCATAAAAAGTTTTGTGTATACTATCACATATAATAAAATAGCTGTGGAAATCAGTATGGAGATTCCTCAAAAAAGGAATTAGAGGTCCTATTTTACCCAGCTATTCCTCTTCTAGGTATTTTCCCAGAAGAACTGGAAACATCATACCACATATGATATATGTGCACCGTGTTTATAGTAGCACAGCTAAATCTTGAAAACACACCAAATGCCCATCAACTGAAGAACAGATAGAGAAAACGTGGGATTTTTTTTTTTACACAACAGAGCAGTACCCTGATATTAAGAAGGATAAATTTGAGACATTTCAAAGTAAATGGCTGCAACTTAAGGTGATACTTTTAAGTGAAATAAATCAGACTCACATGTGTAAACATCACATTGTCTCTCCCTGGTGTGAGAAACTGAAATAGTAAATGAGGGCCAAAATGCACAGTAGATACTGTAAAAATGGAAGAAACTTTTCAAAAGGAAATAGCTAGTGTAGGGGAAAGGGGAAAAGAGAAAGGAAGAGAGGAAAGGAAAAAATGGTAAAATGGAAACAAAGCTGTGTAATTAGAGAAGAGAGGATTGGGAATAAAAGAGGAACCAAAATATATCATGTACGAGTACATTACACCCTGTTTTCATGTTATTCATTGCTGAATCCCCTCGTATTGCCAAACTCTAGGGCTCATTACAGCTTGAGGCTTGACTTTGCAGTTTTCCCAATTTTCTAGTCTTGAATAGAAAGGCTGAGTTGTTCTCATCGTCCCTCAGTGTCTACTCTTTAGTTCCTTCCTCCTCCTCCGTAAAGGAAAAGCTTGAGTAATCGCTCTGTTTCTGGGTGTATTCTAAGTATTTGATTTGCATTACCTCATAATTTTAAACATGACTGCATGAATGCTTGGGATTTTGAGATGCAATATTCTTAACTGCTGAATAGCCAGGCTTAAAAAATCGTGCATCTTGGTGTTTGAATCCTCATGTTCCATGTTAAGAGATGAGTCAGTGACTCAGACCTGCATTTATTCAACACACTGGTTTAGAGAAAAGGGTAAAAACTAAAATGAAAGTATGCAAGATGATTATTGGGTTACTCTTCCACAGGGGTGAGCAGCAGATTGTACGTGTTAACACTATTAAATGCTCGAAAAGGTAAGATTTTTGGAATTGTGTTCCACTTTGAATATTAGAATACTCACCAAATTTTATTAGGGCCATCTGATACATATTCATTCGTTCATTATTCATTCATTCATTTCTCCTTTTATGCCCACACATGCACAGTAACACACATTTGCAAATATGTAAAGTGGAATGACAATTTTCTTGTTTTTTTCAGAATTTCGCTAAAAGTCTATTGCTGAGAAAATAAAAGTATTTGAGAGAGAAAAATTAACCTTCTGTGTGTACTTTGTATAGGCCAGATCACTACTACAAGCAGTCGTTTGAGAATTCCTAAAGATTAAGTATTATTGTTTCTCATTCATATCCAAGAAAATCAAAATTCAAGTTAGGTGGCTTCTTAAAGTTTTAGGGCCAAATCTGATGAAATTCATCTATGTTCTATTCTCTCTAGGATTCTGCCAGGCCAAATGAGCACCCATCTTTCTCAGTATTGATTCTTTGGCATGAGAATAACCATCTCTTTGTTAAGCTTTATCCTACTGAACAAAATTTCTGTCAATGAGTAAGTTTGGTTTCGTGGGAATCCAGCAGAAGGAAGCTAAGTGAGTGGGGCTGGGAAACACCCTCCTGAGATGATGATGTGTGACAGCTGGAACATATTTTAGTACATCAGTGGCAATCACTACATGGGTCATGAATCCATGAACAGTGTGTCTTTATTCTCATGGGTGATACAATTATTGTGGAAGCATCCTTTATGAATACGATTATCCAACTGAATTAAATGGCATTAGCTTTGTGCTTAGTGTTGCTATATTCCAGATTACACAGTGATAGAATATTTAAAAAGAAATATAGTTTTGTGGAAACAAGAACTATTACTACATGGTTGTATTATTTTTCTATGACACATTTAAAGAGTACAATATTATAAGGGTAAATTCAGGAGAAGAGTGAAGATGTGTTGTAGATTTCAAAGCATTGATATTAGCATTAATAGTCTGAGATGATATCCAAGGCACCGCACATCTTTTTTCTGAAAAAAGAAAACACAAAGCATTTCAGTACCATTAGACTGATTTGTGGAAATATGTTCCTAGCTATGTTATAAAGTATGTATTAAAGAAATAGGAAGTTTGCTTTCACTGCTGTCTTACATGGAGTAAAAGCCACGCTGTGAAAAAATCCTTTCGCCTCTACTTCTGATTTCTGATTGAGCCTGGACTGGCTTGCCTTGCACGATAGCATTAGGGAGGTTTTTCAGAAGAGCTCCTTGTGCTGGTCACTCCCAGCTGTTCCTTGTTAGACCAGTGTTACTGGGGGAATTCGGAGCATTCTTTTTTATAGAAAGAGGGTTACCAGAAACTCATGCACAGCAAGGAAAAGGTTCAAGAAGCTTTCCTTCCCAGGTTCCCCTCAGGCCACACTGTTTGCTTTTTAACATGTATTTCTACTTTCTAGTGCCATTGCGGGCCTGTTCTACCAAACTGTGACTTCAACACCCAACCAAGCACATTTAGATAGGTAATTAATTATGCCCTAAAAGCCATTAATAATTTTTGATTTTCAAATTAACACAGATGTGTGGGATTATTGCATTGTTCAGCTTGCAAAGGGGAATGATGGTTTGGGAGAACTGATTATGCAAGGAATATTGCATGTCTTTTTTTTTTTTTGCCTTTGGCATCAGGAATTAAACTCATAACCGCATGCTTGCCAGCAGGCGCTACCCTTGAATGTCTTTTATACACACCTAATATAATTAGTATTTCTGTTGTTAGTGCTGACATCAAACATGATTCTCAAAAGTTAATTTTTATATTAAAAATTGTTAAAGTCTTATAATAATCATTTTCAGGTAGATATAAATACTGTTTTGATTCTTCATAATCATTTTGGTAATAATTATTGATTAGTAGCATAGGCCAATTTTTCTTTTAGGACTTTTCAGGGCATTTAATACATGACTTTTGGCAAATACATACCAAAAACTCTTTATGGTTAGGACATCATCTTATGGTTCTCTCAGGCTGTCAGTCTTGGCCTAGAGAGAAAAAGACACTCATAAGAAGTTCTAATTAAATTAAAACTGAGTAATATTCTGATTAATTGATTATCAAAAGTAGTTGTTGTCCACTTTGTGAAGGTCTGAGATAATGCATTTGATTATATCCTTAGTTGGATTATTATTTCCATTTGCACTAGGGAACAGTTTCTTACAGGAAAACGCCCTCATGACTCTACCTTTTGTTCTGCAAGCATCGAGGCAGTGGTGGTGTCTACCCCAGAGGTGAACACAGTGGCCGTGCTGGGTTTCGGGGAGGTCGAATGCCGAAGCACTTCTGCCTTGTCATGCCTGAAGTTCACCACTTCTTTTTGTAAAAATGGTATCACTTCTCCTCCCGGCTATAAAGAGTTAGAATGTAAATGAAATGGTGATAGGCTCAAACAGGTCAAATTTGGGAAGAATATAAAGTAGCGAGATTGAGATGCAAGCAAGCATCATACACAGAAAGTACCTTTGTTTTCTGGATCATAACCTATTTTTAATGGTTTATGAATTTATTCCACCAATATAATTATCTCTAAATATTTGCTATTAAAGAAGGCTGTGTAGATAATATCTGACATCCTCAATAAATAATTGAGGAACTGAGTAAATCTTGACTAAAACCTTGACTAACAATGATCACTAAAGGAGCAAACAGCAATTGTTCATGGAATCAAAATGACATTTATACGAAAAGCAGCATTAGTGAAGGCGGCCCAGTGTGTCGGCTGTGCCTCTCCAGCTGCCAGTGAGGTGTCCTGAGTAACCTTACCATCAGCACAGTTTCAGGCGCCGTGCCCAGCAGCGGCTCAAGGATAAATTGCTGCTGTCCTCCTGGTACACCCTGGGAAACAGAAGGTTTAAAATGGTATGTTTGTGATAACGCGATATAGCACAGCAGCCAAACAGTTCCTAACTTCTTCAGTAGTTTTCTTGAAAGCCAAAGGCAGTTTAGATTTGAGAAAAAGCAAGTCCTGATTTGAGAGACAGCTGGACACCCAGGGCTGCCTCGGTTCGGCAAAGTCTGCTTTTGAGTACTCCCCGCTAGGCACTGTGTCCTGTTGAGCATAAACAGTCGCACAGAACCCCAACCTCAAGGACAGCTGTGTCCTCACACAACAGCATTAGGAAAACAAAGCAACGTCACAGTCTTGCCTACAGCAATCACCGTGCAAGCTGCAAAAAGAGCCAGTGTCCTCAGACCGTGGCTACGCCAGGAGCCAGGACTGCTGCTTCTTCGTTGGCCAAGGCTTTCGCCTTGCTCTGTTATCCTTGCCTTCTACAGGAGAATCCTTAAGATAATCCACCACTGGACTACCCCACCTCTGAGCACATCCACCCTGAGCACACGACCATTCCACCTAACAGCCCAAAGCCTGAGAAATCCTCCTAAGAGCTTCCTGGGAAGACACCCATGGACCCCCACATGTGGTCTCCTCACTGTAATGTGTGGACAAATCCAGCTTTGTTCAATTGGACTGTTGCTGATGAACTTTGGCTGAAAGACATATTGACATAAACATGACCGCATATTGCCATAACGGCAATTAAGCAAGTAGTTTCAAGGGATTTTGCAAAGAGGAGAATCATGCATGTACTCACAGTTTCTTCTGGCTGTGTAATGTATCCATATTGAGCATCAAATGGTATCTGTCAGGTTTTTGAAAAATTCGTTAGGTTTACCTTGTTGACTTTTATCATGAATCTGTAGTAAAATGTTACTTAAATACACAAACATATACATATATTAAGTGTATTTTTAAACTTCATGTTTCAGTTGATAAAATTATTAACTTACAAGAATCCTTTGAATGCTAAATCACTTCTAGAGTAAAATTCTTTTTTTTTTCTAAAGTAACATAGCATAATTTGGGTTAGTGTAATCCATTATTTAAAGCATCAGTTTTAAATCAATTGCTTTGACAGGTTTAAAAGTGATTATTAATAAAGAAGTTTCATTCTAACTAAAACAAACCACATGAAATTGCACAGTATTTCTGAAAATTTAATCATGTGAATTAATTTGTGTTATAATAAAGATAGATGCTAGTAGATTTTAAATGTGAGAAAACTTCATTATGATAAATGATCTTTTAACTTCTGATTTTCTTAGAGTTCATTCATTGACTTCATTTGTTTAAAATATGGGCTTGAACAATTATCATCTATTCTACATAAGTTATTATAATAAGAAGCACTCTGCGTCTTATGCCTACCACGCCAAGTTGCTGAGTATTTGCGCTAATTATATGCATTTCCTCCCCTCTAAATAGTCAGTAACAATTTCTTTTGGGAATTTATCCTATTCTCAGGCAAAATCTGTCACATAGGACTGGAGGCGCAGCTCCCTAGTAGAGTATTTGCTTGTCACACAGAACAACCTCTGAGGAGTGCGTGCGTGCACACACACACACACACACACACACACACACACACAATTCAAATCAAATATTTGGAGTACCTGCTCCTCAAATAGCGGTGGCCCTGTTTGTTGGGGCGACTGTGTGGCTGTCTGCTGATATTGTTCCCAGGGTAGGAGCATGTAAACAGGGTAGTACACCTATTCACAAACAGAGGGATAGACAAGAGATTCCGTTAGATCTGCATATGCCATTTTTAAAATCTTCTAATCTGTATTTTGTACAGGCATTGTTACTACTGACTAAGAATCAAACTCATCAGCTGAGCCTTTTCATTTGTCATCTAACTGTGGGTGTTTGATCTAATATTCTACTTTAGAATTCAGGCCTAACTTGTAATTTTCCAATTTATCGTCAGTGAATTGTGGTAAACTCAGGGCGCAGAAATACTGTTCCAGTGGTTAATGAAAGGCCGATGAACTCAACCATGTAGGTATATTGGGATTCAGAATTTAACCCCATTAATACTAAACTTCCTGATACTTAAAATGAAGTAATTCTGTACATTATAGATTTAATTCTAAATGTTTATGAGGTAGGATGAGATAATCTCTAGAGATAGGTTTTGCTTTGTAATCAGGTAAGATAAAATTTCTACATAATTCTAATTACAGAAGAGTAAAGTGGTACAACTTTTTATGCAATCTTAATACTTTGTCAGTAGATAATATAAAGTGTGTATAGCATAGCATCTTTGAACCCAAGATGATATAAATTAATTATTCTAACATTGATAAAATTTTCCATATTAATACAATGATTTTACTAGTTTACATTCATTTTTAAAAGATTCTCTTATTTAAGGGAAATCATTGTCATTTAATTATAATATGGCATCAAATAGAAACACTGCATACAAGAATCTGAAAATACTTTTAGCGGAATTTTCTCATTTCCAGATAAACTTTCCTATATTATATCATATCATATATTGTCAGTCTAATTGATATAGCATACACTTTTATAGCCCTGCTGTAGGAGAGTTAGTAATACAAATGTATTGCCCTCCAAAACAAAATTTGGGCCTCTGCAAGGTCAGTCCACAGTATTGCTTTTGAGTTGTCCCCAAACGCCAGCGTCTTAGATGCAGAGAGAATCTGATCTCGACTTAGTGAGCTCCTTTTCTCTGAACATAGCAATGTCCTGGGAATCCAAGGGTCCTGGAGACTTTTAGCTTCCTTTTCTGAAGGAGCTAAATAACCCTGGCACCAGTAAACCAATGCCAGTCCGGACACCACTGTGCAGGTGTTTACAGCCTTGTGAATGGAATGCTAGAGAATGAAAGAAAACATCTAAGAGTGATTAAGTAGCACTTCTATTGATTTGCAATGGTATTCTGCTCACTACCTGTGCTTGTTCTTGAGGTGGTTTGAAGGGATACACATAGGGCATCACCTGCACAAGAAGAAGAAGAAGGCAAAAAGTTATACTTGCCTTTATTGTTAGAAATCCCTGGACTGCTTTTCAGAGCCAGCCAGTGAACCTGAATTAGCAGTGATCCATAGCAAAGCTGATCTGCCATATGAACTATTGTTAATACAATTTCTCTTTTCTTTTTTAGATAGCAATTTTATAGTTATTGTGTTTAATACTGTTTCTGGCTGTATTGTAGAGTACCTGATTTGAAAGTTGTCTTTCATGTTAACAACCAGAGAATGTAAGCGAATACTTTCAACGATGGTACAAACATAAATGAGCTAAAAAACATTTTTAACTAGGATACTGTCCTAGCTGATTCGCATTCATTTTCACATCCAGTGTGTGCTTCTATCTTAGGATAGTAAGGTGAAGAGGCGTGACTTACAGGATTAGGGCCTTGTGTGGCTTGTGACGGTGTCTGAAGCTGTGCGGCGTCCAGCTGGCCAGTCTGGGCTCCTTGGGCAAACCCGACTTGTCTTGGGAAAGGCAGCTCATTTGGGAGCAGTCCAGCTAAGGGGTTCAGAGCTGGCAGTGAGATCTGCGGCTGCCCTGGAATCGGAGCCTGCTGCTGCAGCGGGAGGCCAGAGAAGGAAGGGATCCAGGGAGCAAGCGGACCCTGGGAGCACACAAAAGAAAGCACTCCGCTTTCATATAAAAAAGAATGTAAACTCAGACCGTAGTAAGAAAGGTGAAATTCCTAAACAGTTTCTATATTTTTAGAGCAACATTAGGGAAAAGACAGCATTGTAAATCATAAGCCACACAGTGCTAAGTTCTTGGGGGTCCTGAGAGATAAGGGGCACAGAGGGGTTAAATAAAGGAGCACAATTGTTGAAAGTCACCAGATCAGTTGCAAGTCTTGTTTTTGTCTCTTTTCACTGCTAGGATAGGATTTTGTGTAAAACAGCTAATTTTTCTCATAGTTGTGGTAATTAGTACACAACGTATACCAAGTTCTCCACAGATGAACGTTAATTGGATTACAGGTTTTACTTTGATTTTCAAATAAATTGTGGTTAGAACATACGGGATGAATTGGAACACAGGGTGAATTCCTAATTGTTAAAATTGAGATTTCGGAAGTGGAATCAGGAGACTTCTCTGTTCTTACACCAAGCACCACTGAGAGGAGCAGAGAACAAATATTCTCCTTAAATTGACTTTCGAGGTAGATACCTGAACCCGCAGCGGCAGAAGCTGACCATTATTAAGGTTCAGAAGTAACTAGAAAAAGAGAAACAATATGAAACCAAGATTACTAGGTGCACTAAGGTGATTAAAACAATATTTACTCTAGGTACAGCAAAAGTCAGCGCTCATGTGAGTTTCCTGTAAAAGTGAGACATTTCCCCCACTGGCTTACATTCCGTTACAGACAAGTTAAGATTCAAAGCGGAGCTGGGCTTTGACAACATCACTCCCACCGTGTATGAAACTGCACAGTTAGCCCATTGCGCAGTTCAGATACTGTTTTATGCTTTTATGCAGCTGTAAGCCCCCATTTTGGGTGTTTTGGGACACAGTGTGTAGGAGATGTTGTAGCTGCCTTTGAAGAATTTGCAGTCAGACAAGGGGAATAAACAAAACTTTAGAAGGAACCTGGAATACATAGCAGACATAAAGTTGGGAATTTGTTTAGATATGTATAAAAGCTAGTAGATAGGGTGCAGGTTATATCAAAGACTAATTTTTATGTCCTCTCACTGGGATTTCCTCACGGAAATGGAAGAAGTTATTTTAATTCTTTACACTAACCTCATGGCTGTTGCTAGCAGACATAAGGTGCCGTGGGATAACCTAAAAACACAAAACAAGAGAGAGCGGAGGTGGTTAAAGAAGGGATCCCTCTAGGTTTACAAGGTAAAACCAAGAGTGCTATGAAATCACTTACCGGGGCTGACAAAGTAGCTCCCAGGAGTCCAAGAAAAATTATAATTTTCATTTTCAGACGATATACCTATAAAATGAGTTTTAATACTTGGCTTTATAAATATATCTACTTAAAAATCATAATAAAAATCAAGTCATGAAAAAAGTAATTAGCCTTCAATCAAAAGAGTAAGAATTGGAAATATTTTAAAATGTACTCGTGATTAAGAGTTAAAATTACAAATTTCTGTTTGTAAATCTTTATGAGAACTTTTTCCACAGCAGCTGTTTTTAGAACCCAAAATTGTTTTCTTGCCCCAAAGGCTCATCTGGTGACGTGCAATGTAGCTGAATGGGTCACACAGAGTAAATACCTACTGTATGCTATTTGAGGCCTGTGACTGGCACTAACCAAATGGTACTTACCATGAAAGTGATTATCAATTGTATGTGGAAAAAGCACCAGAATAAAGATCTGATGATACTAGCTCCACACAAGATAATTTCTACTTTGAAGTCTAATAATATTACAAAATACTAAATATATGACCTGAGTCACTAGTTTTTCACTTTGGAGAAATGGATTATAAAATTAAACTGAAGCACGGTTGACTTATAATGCAACCAGTGGGAATACAGTACCTCTCTTTCTCTGGATGGGAAAATTCCTGCCACAATTCAAATCACTGACCTTGCAAGTATCTATGGTGACTTTAGTAGTTTATCTTACTGATTGGATTCTTAAAATTATGAAAGCAAAGATTTGATATCTTACCTTACTCCTAGGCCTAAGAAATCTAGAACCATGCAAGAGCTGTGATCTTTTACTCTATCAGCTCTGCTGCTTAGAATTCCTCTTAAAATTTAAAACCCATCTTTAGAAAAAAAGGACCAATCATTTTTAAAGGGACCAGTGATTCAGTGGGTTTCAGACAATGGCTTAGCTAATAACCCCTTTCCTATCATCCAGTGGTATATGGCTTCCCACACCCATAGTAATGTCATTAAATTATCCCCTGAGAAATGTTTTCCTATGACCATTTCTGGTTTCTCCTTGGTTATGACTAACTCTTGTAGAATAATTTTATTCTATACCTTTTGTCATCTTTAAAATGATACCTGAGTATTTAAATGGGTGATTGTTTTTATTTTGAGAGAAAAAATCAAAATTATAAGGCAAAGGGCGTAAGTCTAAAAAACAAAATTGCAAAACTTAACTTTTGGCAAAATGTTTACTTTCAATTCTTCACCTAGTAAATGTGAATTAATTTCATTTCTTTGACCTTGACAATCCTAGTATATTTCTCTTTGTCTGTGGAAAAATCTGTAAAACATTGTTAAACTCTGTATGTCCCTTTGGGATCATGTAGCTTGAAATAAATAAATATGCATCTTAAAAAAGTGGTGAATGAATGGTTTGTATTTTTAATATTCTCTTTCTAACTATAAAAGTAACATTCAGAAATATATCTAAGTATTACTGCTTGTACATCATATTACTTATATTTCATTCTTAAAGTGAGATTTTGTTACTATTATTAATATTGATCTAACTTTAATAGATATTGTCCAGGATCACAAATGCTGTTCTGTTGTGTTGTCCATCAATTTCCATTATTAAAGACTTATGTAGCTAACTTAATCTTGAAAATTGTCCTATGGGAAATGAAAATGTTTGCCTTTCAGTAAAGTTGTCTTTCTTAGCAGTATGAGACACTTAGAGTTTACTCATGAATACTAAAGTGATTATATTATTTGCTGTTTAGTCAAAAAAAAACCTCAAAGTACCCAAAACATTACTTAAAATAACAAGAATTTTTCATTACAAAAAGAGGATAAATTGGAATTAGGATTTTTATATCTGTGAGAAAGGAACTCTCCCAAGACATATAATGTTAGTTTTATGTGAGTTGGACAATGCTACATATTGATGGCAGATATAATGAAAATTCTTTGCAAAGGCAGTGGCTGGACTGGGTAGGTGGACCAAGGAGAAATTTGCCTGATGATATATGTTTTCAATTATTTTGCTTGGTCCATTTGGAATATTGTCGGTAGAAATTTACACACTGAGATTCTCAGTCTCTTGAGATTTTCTGTTGCATTCTGCAGGGTCTTAGGTAGTCTGCTCCACCATGGAACCAGCTAGATGTCAGAACCTTGCACCAAATGGGTCAGAATTGTACTGCAGAGGGAAACCTAATTTCAAAACTATTCTGAAGATGAATAGTTTTCATCTAGCTGCACTGTTCAAATTTGAAGGTAATTGGGAGACTTTGGTCATTTTTAAATCTTGGTTTTCATTTTCCAATCCTTGAATATTTTAAAGAAAAAGCGTTTAAAATCTTTGGTCACACTAGAGTTGAGGTGCAAAAAGACACTTGCTGTTTTAATCTGATAGCTTCTAACTCTCTGTGTCAACGGAGGCAGAGTTCTCTCCAGGTACCAGGGAAAGTAGCCAGGGTTCTGGTTAATTCTCACCGCACTGTGGGGTGCATTTCTTTCATGCAATGACGTTGGATTTACCCTTTTACTGTCTTTGTGTCAGTAAAGGTATTTCATTGAGTTTTGCTAAATAAACTGTTCATTCAGGAAAGATTAAAAACATGAGACAGATCAAGAACAGTGCCATTCTGTACAGATTAAGTACATGAATACAGGATGAGGAAATCCTGAATCAGATATTATCACTAGAACTTCGCCCTTTGTTTTAGTTTGATTACCAGAACTAGAAACCTTTCATTCAAATAAAAGTACAAAAATACATTTTGTTGCCAAGGGTAATAAGAATGTGAGTTATCTACCAGTGAAATTGTCTGCATCTTTCACTGTTCAAATAACATAAAGGAGGAAGAATAAAAAATAATGGTGTATATTAGTTCTTTTAAAATATAACCTTTGCTTTTTTTTCTTTTAGCTATCAGGAAAAATCAACAGGCCTATGCTGTGAAAATTGAATTAGCACTGCTTATAACAAAAATAATTTTCTTGCATATCTGAGAAAACTGAGGTATAGAAATTTCAGTGACATTATTCATTCATTAATTTATTCATGTAACAAGTAGTTACTGTGTCACCTTTACAGATATATCCTTAGTAAGCATTGAAAACTTGACATTAGTAATAAGAGACATGGTTCTTACCTTCCTGGAAATGTCTGGTTCTCCACTGCCAAAAAAGTACTAGAATTGTGACTAAAGTCAGGTCTTTTGATTCTTACTCAAGTAGTTTTTCAGTGGCACCAACCTGCTTTCTTTATAGAATAAGAGACAAGGTATTATAATAAGGATAATTAACAGATAAAAATAATAAGTAGTAAAAGTGAGTGTTTTACATTTTTTCAGTGATGAATTGTAAGTCTCAATTCAATGAGATCAATACGTTTTACCACTAAGAATTATTTCATTAGTAACTTATGCAAAAAGTAAACCAGAGAATAAGTAAACTTTCTTTCAAATCACTCCTATTGTATGGATGTGTATATATTTAACTTTTATGAGGTTTTACTAAACATTCCTGCTGGATGTTAGCCATCATACGCCCACTAGGATAATACATTCTAGCTTAATGGCTCTAACTTGGTTATGTGAGTCTAATTTTTTTCTATTTAAGATTTGTGGGTCTGCACACTCAACTCATGACTATAAAGTAAAAAATCTCTGGGACTGGTGTATTTAGCAATAGCAATGTTAATAAAAATAAAATAAAATATATCCTTATTTTACAACATACTTTTTGAGTTTCAGAGTAGAGAAAAGAGGCCAACACACAGCTATACTTGGGCTAGAAACTACAAGCTTCTCGTGGTAAGCAAACAGAAGGGTGGCCATAGGACATTCCACAGAGAGCAAATCTCAAAATACAGCTCATCTTGGCCTGGGCGTAAATCAGCCTCCGCCTTGTGTTCAAACCTTTTCTTTTATCCCCTGTCTGAAATGGTTTCTTTCTCTAGTGAACCTTTATGATATTTCTCCCATTCTTTTGTGAATTCAGGCCTATTATTTTAATAACACAAGTTTTCTTTTCGGCCTCCATGTAGTTTCTGTACTATAACTGTCTAGAAAATCTAAATGTGACCATTAACAATTTCACTGTAACGAGTCTTCACGTGAATTAAAGTGAGTATTGTGGGGGAGACCATGTGCGATGTTTGTTCAGTTGCTGGTTTGTTCAGAAGGCGCTGGCGAAGGTCTCAGTCAGGGCTGTGGTACCCTTACGCCGTGTGCCTTTATCTTTCTCTGAATTCTGGTGATGTGTTTTCCATTTTGTTACATTAAGGCTTTATCTTCTTAAAAAGGTGGTGTGTTTTCTAATTGCAATGTTTTATTCCATTGCTCAAATAATACCATTTTATCTTCCTTTAGCTCTCTACCTCTATCCTTCTTCCTTTCCATCCATTTGCTGGCTTGTCCCAATCTTCTTTGTCTTCCCTTATCTCTTCACTAGTGATTTCACTCTTCTGTTTCTTTTTTTTTTTAATTTTATTTAAGGAGAAAAGGAAAAAAAAAGCAGGGAAAGGGTACAAGTTATACAGATTTACAGAAAAAAAATGAACAGTAGGAAATCACTAGTTAATGGATTACATATTGTCATCTTAGAAATAATTGTTCAAGTCACAAAATTAAAGCTTGTAAAGTGGACATTCCATCAATGATACTGCAAACAGTTCTGTTCATTGATCCAATAAAACTCTGTGATATCATTTTCTATCTTATACACTTAAATATACATGCAGTTATATAGTTTGGAGCACTTTCTTTTCCTCTCTTTTGTACCATGACTATTACACATTTTACCCGGCTCCCAAAGCCCCCCGATGATCTGGGACTCGGTCAGTCCTCCCAGTTTTCTCCCACTGCTCTCCTTCATTAAGCCTCTGACAGGCTGCTTTCTTTCTGAGTTTTAAATGTGTTGGATGGATCG